CTATTATCTGGTGATTGTATTTTCTTCGTCTTTATGATTCACATTTTTCGCCATTTCTTTTATGATTTTGACTTCTGAAGTGGATCGAAACTTGTGGAAGTTGAACAGATACTACACCAATGAGTTGAAGTTAACGAGTGGTGATTCTGTGTGATTTTTCGTTTTGCAGACCATGAATGTTTCATCAAGGACATAGCCAAAGCTCAGCCTCCTAAGCATCTGACTCAGCTGCTGAGTATATTCACAGCTAGAGGTAGATCAATCTTACATATCTGTGTTTATGGACTTTGGTTGATCATGCTTTCGCGAACTAAATTGTGTGTAATCTGAGGAAGTGGTGATGTATGTTGGTGACATTGTTGTATCAGGTAAATCCATAGTTTCTCCTGGTGCCAAGCAAGGCTTATTGCCTCTCATTGTTCCATTGGTGAGAATCAGCCCAGGTATGATTAGGGACGTGTACATAGGTCTTGATCTGAGTTTGAAACACTTTTGTATTGACCCGAGGTCTTTTTCAGGTTCTTCAATTGCTCTACTACGGTGGCCAACAGCTCGTCCTAGGTCGGAGGCTCCTTTCTATCGTTATATCGTTTTCTTTATCTTCTGTTTCTTCTTTTATATCTTATCATTCTTTCTGCTGTTTTCAGTATGGAGATGCCTGTGGTGGAAGTTCAGAAACATGGGGTTTGGTATTTAGCCAATAATGTAATGAGTCTTTGTATCATAACTGATAGATTGATTTAGGGTCATTTCTATGTAGCATTTTCTTTTTTTTTTTGGCTGGCTGTTCATTCTCATATCTGACTTCATTGGCTCACTTTCAGGTTGATCAGTTCATTCACAGAATATTGGTGGAAGAAGATGTTTCTAAACCCGAAGAATCCAGTCAAGAAATCTTCGATGCTGCAGGTGAAGCTGGGAAGATACTCTATAGTAAGGGTGACTTTGCTACATCAGGACTGATGGATTTAGATGCCTATCTTTTAAGAAAGGTACATATATTAAACCTATAAATGTACTCTTTTCGGCACATGGAAATCAGAATAAATATCAGCTTTGTTATTCAGGTTGGTCTGTTTCCGGATTCTCTAGAACGCAAAGTTATTCGACACATTCAGAACGGAGACCATGTAAGGCTAGTGGCATCTATCCTGTTGTGGTCGACTTGTTTTCTCTTTCTTAACTATCTTCATGTGCTAATTCAAGGTTTCAGCTTTGGTGGCTTCTGAGTTTTATACAAAGAGAGGCAATTTTCCTGGATCTGCCCGGCCTTTTGCTTTCAATGCAAAGGTTTTGCTGAAGTTCGTATGATCCTCTCATCAGCTCTCTCTCCCCCCTTGTTAATTGTATCCACGGTTAGATACTTATGTATTTTCTAGAAAAATCTAAGACCTATGATTTTGTAGACTTGGGCGTAGCCTAGAAGCAAAAGATGCAGCTAGGGGTGCTCTGAAATCTTCTTGGTGGACCTTAGGATGCAAATACGAGGTACAGTTCCTTGAATATCGCTAAACCATTTCGGTAATTGAAAAAAGAACTTAGAAGGGAAAAATTGTTGGACATATGAAATGGCTGCACAGGAAATTGCTCGAATAGCAGAGTGGGGAGATGAAAAAGTAGCGCAGTACAAAGAGAGGGTTACAGGAGAAGGAAGACAACGAGATATAGACAGGGGAAAGCCACGGGCTCAGGTTTGTTTGTTGCTTGTATTAGTATTCATATTTTCACATCATGGTTGGATACAATGGCTTCAAACAAAAGTTGTAATGGTCAGGCATCTTTGGATGAAGCTGCGTTCTTATTGGATCTAGCTTCGCTTGAAGGGACATGGGACGACTCCCTGGAACGGGTTGCTCAGTGCTATAAGGAAGCTGGACTTAACGACATCGCCAAGTTTGTTCTGCACAGAGATTGAGAAGTCTATTTTGATGGTCACTGGATCAACAACACTGATGTTTTCTTTAGAGAATTGAGCAGACATGGAATCAAATGGTCTTTGCATTCAGTGTCTACGTTTTCTTTGAGACTTGAGATGACATAGAATTGAAAGATATTTGCATTCACTGTCTACGTTTTAGATTTACATAAACCCTGCTAAAGATTAGATTCATTGGGTCAAAGATTACTGATTGTATATTTTCTGAGACTAGAAGTGAAATGAAATAGACTGATTTTCTCATTAGGTAATCTACGTGGGATTTAT